ATGTTATACTTACCTGACCCGCTACAGCCTGACCCACCCTCGAAATGGGGGGTCAATGTTGTGTATACCAGCCGGAACCATCCCCTCGTCTTAGATTGCGTTCTTAATATCTATGTTATAAACTGAATTGTTATGATTTAGCTTAGATTATTTTGAAGCCGATGTATTGGTAACATCGCCCAAACAATAGAAAGGGTTTGGTTTCCAAGTTTTTCTATTCATTGCAACTTGGGCAGTCGGCCGCTCATACGACCTAAGGTAAGCGCTCTGAAGTTTTCTATTGACCAATAGAGTAGGGCTATTAGTTGCGTCTACTTATTGCGCTCAGTAGCCGCCCGGCCGTCATACCGAGTATAGTTGCGTCGCTCTCTCTCTCTCGCCCACTGTAGCGCGCACTGCTGTCTTGCTCTCGCATGACTCCACCGAGCACACCCTTATTCGACAACTCCCAACGTTGCACTGACGCGGGCGCAGTCAGCAGTGCACCGAAAACACTATACTAGTGTATAGGCTCGCGACCTGCAAAACTGTAATAGATGCAACCAATATACGCAACTACTAGACCCGTGTATAAGCACCTTATGCTCGGTATGACGGCCGGGCGGCTACTGAGCGCAATAGACTGCTTCAAAACAACTCTTTTTGCCTTGCCTGCAATGAACCAGCTAGTTGCCTCTGAACACATCAAGCATCACAAATTCTAGTAGCCTCGCCTAGTAGACGCAACTAATAGCCCCGTGTATTAGCAACCTCATCATGCATTGCGTGTGCGTGTGGTTATTTGTAGAAGTCTGAAGTACTTCCCTCCTCTGTCGCTCTGTCCTTACTTCTTGACTCCTTAAATAAAACAACGTCTGACACGGATTCTGGTAACCAACAAGCATAAGAAATGTAAGATGCCTTTTGATTCTGGAAGCGATGATGAAATGAGCCCTTGTACTTCATTACATGAATATCTTTTCTATCATGAACCAACACCGGGCCATGGCCAGTGGTGGGCACAGTTCCGCTAATCCGCTAACCGCTAATTAGCGAAGCTAACTTTTTCCTTATCGGATTAGCTGTTCAGCTAACTTTGAAAACCTTTAGCGGACCAATTAGCTTCCGCTAAAATTAGTTCCGCTAACTGGTAGTCCGCTAAAAATGTTTTAAAATCTCTGATTTAATGCTAAATATCGTAAGCCGTGTGCCACGCCCACACTGACGGCTGACTTCATCATCAAATGATTGTCAGCCAATCACGTCTTGTGTTACTGGCAGTAACACAAGACGTCCTGTACTGCAGTCCTCTGGTGGACGCAATGCTGGCAGGCATCACGAAAAGGTTTGGGTCCCTCCTAGAAGACAAGGAGTGCCAGCTGACAGCGGCCTTCCACCCTAAGTTTCGCCTGTTCTGGCTGGAAAAGCATAATCACAGCCATCTCAGCAGGGTACAGAAGGCCATGGAGACCGCCGTGGAGACAGCCCTGAGGGAGACCGTTGAGGAGGGCAGCAGCACCACCAGCAATGACGAGGATGGGGAAGATGACTTCTTCAGCAGCATTACTCAGCCCATGGAGTGCAGGAGGAGCAACGGGTCACTGAAGTCCAAGGCACAGAATTTGGTGAAGACCTGGCTGGAAAGCAGCTCGAAGGAGGAATTGACTGACGTTGCCTTCTTGGGCGAGCAGGTGTTGATGAACCTTTTCGTTAAGTACAACACAGCCATCCCATCCAGTGCTGCAGTTGAGCGCCTGTTTTCCATAGGCTAGGACATCTTGAGTGCCAAGAGAGCCACCCTGTCAGATGCCAACTTTGAGAGGCTGATGTTGATGAAGGGCAACAATCATCACCTCGAGGAAATGAAGGCGAAGGGCAAGCCAGAGTAAAAGGAGTGTGTAACCCTGGTGTAACCTTAACATTTATTATTCTTTTAATAAACTGTATGTTGAATGTCAACTACTGCCTAATTTCATTTGTTCATTCAATGATTTATGTTACGCACATCTTGATCATCATCTGATCTTGGCATGCTACATCTTTTTGGAAAGCTCCTTTTCAAGGCTTAAAGTTCAGCTCTATAGGACTTTTTTCAGAGTTCCCCCCCCCCCAAATTAGGCAAAATCTAGATTTATATATCAAAAATTAGCGGTTAGTGGTTAGCGGCAAATTCCGCTACATTTTTCGGTGATTTATCGCTTTAGCGTTATCGAAGCTAACTTTTCAGTTAGCGGATTAGCGGTTATCGAAGCTAACTTTTAGGTTAGCTGTGCCCACCACTGGCCATGGCTATAAACTAAAAAAACTGCGCTGCAACTTATTGACGCGACAACACTTCTTCTCGCTTCCAATCACCAACTTGTGGAACCGCCTCCCTGTTTACATCGTTGACGCTCCGAGTATGAACGCGTTCAAGAACAGACTAGATAAAGCAATGGAAAAATATATGTTCAGACTTGAAATGTCTAGCACCATATCGAACCCGGTGGAAGTCTATTAGCTATTTCAAACCATCACCAGTCTTGAAAAGATCTGGTCAAATGACACGATTTTACATAAGGCTATTCAGTGAACAAGTTAACGAAAAGTTCAAGAATCGGCGACAGGCCACATCAGGCCTACTCTTCAGCGCCGACATCATTATTTTATATTATGTTATGCTATGTTAATTGTTATGAGCTTTCCGTTTTTCAAGTTATTGAAAATTAGCCAGAAATCAAAACGTTTTCTAGCATTAGTTTCACCAAAAAAAATGAAAAGACTGCGGCACAAACTATGTTATTTTTTAACGAGTTTTTCAGGGATTGTCGCACAAGCCATAGTTTTAATAAGTACATAATGGTAATAATTAAATACAATGGGTAATCATTATAATATGATTTTTCAATGTTAATGTAAATGCATAGACAATTAGTGTTAATTGAGATGTCAAATGGTAATATATAATATTCATAGGATAACTGCAATTGGTAATGCCGGTTTGCCGAGAGACATTTTACTTAACAAAATGTAATTGTAATGTTATAATGTTTTACTATTTACGTCATATTATAATGGTGTCTAAATATAATCTTCCACTCAATATATAATGGTGTCAATATATAATATTTGAGAACATATCAGTAATGGCAGTCCCTTGCAGGTTGATGCTCTGGTCCTGATCAATTGCGCAGTGGGCACCTCAGGCTGGCTGGAGTGGGGGTATCAGAAACTCAACATCCACCAACTGAAAGCTGGTACCATGACTGCCGGTACCGTGGACTACCTCATGTGGCACCACTTCGGTGAGTGGCGGTACAATGATTGCCGGGACTGTGTAGCCAGGACGTGGTGACTGTGTTGCCATGACTCTGTGCTCCCCCATGCAAGGTGGAGCAGTGTAGCCAGGACGTGGTGACAGTGTTGCCATAACTCTGTCTTCCCCCATGCAAGGTGGAGCAGTGTAGCCAGGACGTGGTGACAGTGTTGCCATGACTCTGTCCTCCCCCATGCAAGGTGGAGCAGTGTAGCCAGGACGTGGTGACAGTGTTGCCATGACTCTGTCCTCCCCCATGCTAGGTGGAGCAGTGTAGCCATCACGTGGTGACAGTGTTGCCATAACTCTGTCTTCCCCAGGCAAGGTGGATCAGTGCAGCCAGGACGTGGTGACAATGTACCGTCAACTCTTCGAGTCTCATGTCAACGCTGGCAACCTGGCACAGCTGATCGAGACCTACGTCGCTAGGACGGACATCGGCTGCGTCAGGGAGATGGACCCCGACAAGAAGAAGGTGAGGGCGTGGGGGTGCCCTTTGTGGGGCGAGAGAGGTGGCCTCTGAAGGGTGGGGAGGTGTCTCTGGGGGGGGTGGGGTGGTAGGTGCTCGTGTGTATGCGGGTTTGCCTTTGTGTATGGCGGCTGTCTGCATGAGGTTTGGCCCGCGTTCGTAATGGGGCGCACTTTGTGGGTGGGGGAGGGACCATTCTAGATTGGTGCCTGTTTGGAGTGGATGTGGCACCCTATTTGATGTGCTGGGTGACGCCCTCTGTGAAACTGGGGAGCGAGCCCTTTGGTAATTGAGATGTGGTCATTTGATTATGGAGGACTTTCATGCCTTCTGTGAAGAGCGCCCCTTGTTAAGTGGAGTGATGCCGCTCGTTTGGTTTTAAGTATCCTTTAATCGTTCTGAGCAGTTCTCTAACCCCCAGTTCCCTTATATCCTAAAAAAATTCGGGGACCGCCTAGGCTTCCGTCGAATAGTTACTCCACTCGGCGCAAAGTTATTCTGGATCTTCGTGGCCTCCTCATCGAAACCATTTTCTGTCAGAACTTCTGAGTTTAGAGTTACCTGAGAGTCTGGCAACTCTAAACTCGGCCGAGCCGAGTCATGCCGAGCCAGCAAGCTGCCCAGAGGCTACGTACCCTTCGAACCCTGAGCCGAAGCAGACACCGATAAGCTGATTCACGTGCTTCCCAGAGTCCTAGTCGGCCCTAATGCAGGGTCGTTCACGCCTCAAAATTTTGCTAGGGTAGTGACCCCAATGACGCCCTTGCCCCTTCAGGAGGCTCGTATGGTGCGCTGCAACGTCCTGAACATCACCAGCAACTACAGCCCTCACGTGGACGACACCGTCGCCCTCAACGCCAGGCTCGACCCTGCCTGCTGCTCCTGGATGAAGGTGGGGGTGAGGGTAGAGGAAAATGAGGGGAGAGGGGAGACATGGGATGTGGGCGAGGTGTGAAGGTAAAAGGAGGGGGGAAGACTATGATGTAAGGAAGGAAAGAGATAAAGGGATTTATGTGACGGCTTGGTGATAAGTGTTTCAGGGTGGTGAAGGCACAGGTTGATGTGTGAGAGCATAAGGGATGTTTGTTTCCTTGGCGGCGAGGACGAGTTGCTTGCAGGGGCTGAGAGCGGCGCTCCAGCGGCTCGGCCTGAGACTGCTACGTCCCAAACACATGCCAAGAATACTATGATATTGATGTGGTTGTATAATGTGTGTGTATTCAGTACTGTGAAGATTCTCCTTGTATGCCATGATGTTTGTCCTGTGTGTAACATATGTAGGTATAATGATTTGTGTGCCGTGTGCTATGATGTGTCTGCTGTATACTGTGACGTCTGTATACTGTACACTATGATGTGTTTGCTGGATACAGTGACAGACACCTGCACACAGTGTTATGATGTATGTACTATGACGTGCACCACAGATCCAGGACTGCGGGCTGGTGCTGGAGGAGCAGCCCGGCAAGGTGATAGAGGCGCTGCTGCTGTTACTGCAGGGCCAAGGCTATGGTGGGTGCCGCCTTATTTATTGAAGCTTAATTCCCACCACGCATTTGACGTTGAAATTACGTTTATTTAACGTTGTTTTTACGTCATTTGCGTGGAGTCGCGTAATTGGGTGTTGCAAAACTAAATAGGTGTTGCTTAGTCTTACTAATGACGGTGTTTAGTGCCTCGATCGAAGAGTCTTGATTTGTGCCGTTACTCTCGTTGTATTTTATTCACAATATTCATGCAATGTATAACAACCGACTTTAAAATGCAATATTCTGCCGCTGTATTCATGTATGGCGCGAAGCAAACATTGTTTAGGAATTTAAGTACTGATTATAAAAGTAGCGACTGATTGAAGATTTAACGACTGATTGAAGATTTAGCGACTGATTATAGATTTAACGACTGATTATAGATTTATCTACTGATTAGAGATTTAGCAACTGATTTGAGATTTACCAACTGATTAGAAATTTACCGACTGCATGATTGAGATTTAGCGACTGATTAGAGAATTATCGACTGATTAGAGATTTAGAATCTAATTAGAAACTAAGCGACTAATTGAGATTTAGCGACTGATTAGAGTCTTAGCGACTTTAAAGAGATTTGGCTTTTAATCTTATTAGTTAAACGACACGTGCCAGTTCCTGTAGAACGACACGTGCCAGTTCCAGTTCCTGTAGAACGACACCTGCCAGTTCCAGTTCCTGTAGAAATTTATTAGGGTAGATATATTGGTAGGTTCAACTCGAAAGTTGCTTATGCACGGACACAGTTGAGGCGTCCACTAAAACTTCCTAACACTAACCACTATTATCCTAAAAATATTTGGATGAGGGTCCGATTCAGCATCAAGCGCCGCCCAGGACTCGGGGTGTACGTAAATCAGCCGCTAATTTCCACTGCACGCGAGGCGCTGCTTTATGTGCAGCCTTGCATATGGGCAACTTGCAAGCTCGGTATGACTGGGCTTCAGTCAACTTTTTTCATACTCTCAGGACACACTAGTCATACTCTCAGGCGACCATAAAGTCACGAAGGAGTTTCTAACCAGAAGCTAATATCGATCAGACCCAGAATTACTCGAAGCCGAGTGTAGCGACTCTTGGACAGAGGCTTGTCCGGTCCCCGAATTATGTTATGATAATGACCGGGCTACTGGCCTCGTGTAGAGGCGCTACTGTTCACGGTAGGAGCCAGTAGCCCTTTACACGTTACCAATAGCCCGGTAAATAGTGGTGGTTAGTGTTGAAAAATTTTAGTGGACGCCACTAAACTGTCCCCGTGTACAAACGCTATCCGCCAGGCCTAAGCGGTTGAAATAACGTTGACTAAATATTTTCTAAAACGGAATCAACGTTGGTTTAACGTCATTTAGTGAAATAGTTTTGCTACTGCTTCATAACTAAAGGAATTTAAATCCTAATATTGTTCTATCAATGATAAACACGTATAATTAATCGGATTTATGGTACGTTGTTGAATGAATGAGTTGATTTGTGTTGAACTAACGCTGTGTTTCTTGCTCCCCTCCTGCCACTGTGTTGGAACTCGTCCGATGAATCAACACATAATCAACCCATCGCCGTGTGATTTAACACATAATCAACTCATCGCCGTTTGATTCAACAAATATTCAACCCATCGTCGTGTGATTTAACACATACTGTAATTAACCCATCGTCGTGTGATTCAACACATTATCAACCCATCGTCGTGTGATTCAACACATTATCAATGACACTGAGTTACGTCACTACTTAACCCAACACAGGTCACTAGTGCAACTCCCAAAAGTTATTTTAACGTTATTTCAACGTAATTTATTCGTTTTTTCAGCGTTATTTCAACTTTATATCAGCGTTATAACAACATTATTTTAACGTTATTTCAACGTAATATCATCGCTATATCGACGTTTTATCGACGTTATTACGACGCTATATCGACGTTATATTAACATATCAACGTTATATCTACATAATTTTAGTGTTATTTCATCGTTATTTCAGCGTTGTTTCAATGTTATATCAACATTATATCGAAGCTATTTCAACGTCATGACGTCTCGTGGTCACCTTGTGCTATTTTTAGTAGTTTCTTAACTTAACGTAGCTTGCTTCTATGAACACTTATTTTAATTTTATATTATATTTATTATATTATTATAGTATATAACACTATATAGTATATAACACTGTTGAGTTTTTTATATGTATCCTATCCCGATAGGGATAACACTTTTTATAATGCTGTCCACTTTGGTATACATGTATGTAGTATGTATATGTTTACTTATCTGATTTAATACTTTTACACCTCCTATTAAACCCCAAAATAATAACATCCCCAGTTTGAGGAGCACATCCTCAACCCTCTTCTAATTCTATTCATACTTTCACCTCTTCTATTAACCCCCAAAATAACCCCCTCTCGGTGAGAGGGGTACTAACCTAACGCCCTCTGCTAAACTTCCCTATTAACCAACCCCCCTCGCCCCCCGTAGCAGTCCACATCCGCCGGTTGGGGGGGCGCCAGAACTCCCTCCCCCTCGTCGGGGACCCCCCCGCCGTGAAGGGAGGCTCCGCCCTTCCCTCTGTTCCCGACGAGGGTCGAGGCTCGCCAACCAATGAGGAGACGGATGCCAGTCACGTGACCGAAATGGGTGATGACGTCACGACTACGTCATCAGGCGCAGGTGCCTCGACCAATCACGACGCTGCTGGTGGTGACGACATCGTGGTGGGCGGGGCCTCAGACACTGATATTCACATCACTGTTCATTGAGAACGCCTTGGAGCATCCGGCGCCCGGCGGTCTAAAGATCATTTATTTCTGAAAGATGTTCAAAAGACTCATATTATTTTGGAAATAATTTTCGAGGAGACTCAAATTATTCTGAAAATGTTTCTATTATTCCGACAAAAAAGCTGACGTATTTTTATTTTTTTTTTGCAAAAATTCCTCAATTCTGCAAAGTAGAACTGAGGCAGTGAGTTGCGTGTTCGAGACCGCAATAAGCTGTGGATGTTCTGCGATGCTATTAATTAAGAATCGGCGACAGGCTCACGGCCTAATAAACACTGAAACCGCTATTATTAGTGGTATTTAATGGGATTCGTCTCATGAAAAAGTTTGAGGGATCGGATTAGTAAAATTTCGGAAAGATTTTAACCGAAATAAAAGTATCCGTGATTTATCGCTTCAGAAATGCCTGGTGCTGCCATAAGAAAACTGTCAATTTAGCTCACAAAATGCCCTATTTAGTAGTAATTCGTAGTAGTAGTATTTAGTAGCGCAAAATTCAATTTTTCTTGGTCGTATACATCGAGAATGAAAAAAAAATTAGGCTAACGTAGATTTTTATCGGCCAACGGTGTTGAAAAAGGCCAACGTTTTGAAATTTGGCCGGAAAAGGTCTATCTGGCAACCCTGCTTGGCTGCAGTAGCACAGATTTCGCTGCCTGGTACTATAAGCCTAAAATTTCATTCCCTTGTGCAAAAATCAAATTAAGTTAGCGGCTAAAGGAGCAACGGCACACACTCAGAAAATTAAATGGATGATATTGTTCAAATAGTGATAAACTCCCCTACCCGAAGCACGAGCATAGAGTGGACCGAGATCTGGTATGCATGTTTACTTGGCCAAACTGAGTCAAGATAACCCATTCGGGGCGAAAATTGCATAGCTATTTGACAAGTCCCACTTATTTCTTTGACTGTAGCTAGTTTTTTTTCTCTGATTCAGGCAGCGGTGGCGCTATATAGTATAGCAACAACGTCACATGTATATAAATAGTTTACTTATATTATATTTTCTGCACAAAATCATGAGTATTTTCTTCAGAAAATATAGCGTTATTCATTTCCATGCCTCCTACTCTTCCACCTTCCCATTTTTACACTCGAAAGAATCAATGGGTCAAATTGTCTAAATAGTCACACACTTCCTGCTCGTAACACTGATTCGTACGCCCTTTTGTCGGGTAAAATTGGATCAGAATGACTTACAAGCGAGGCCAAAAGTGCATTACTACTTGGACAAAATCTCATCCATTTCTGTGAGTGTACACAAAGTCGTCATCCCAATATAATAAAATCAAAAAGATTATTAAAAACATATATCCTGCAAAAAATAATAATATTGATATATATGTGTTGACAGTTGATCTTTTAGCCGCGTGGTTCTGAAAACAATCTTGTTGTTGTTGCTGTTGTTTGTGTTTGCATCGTCGCTGTTGTAGTCTCAGCTTGCGCATTGTTGGAACATCTGATGTCTTTAGCCCCTTAGCGCCCAGCTGTACAAATATGTCGCCTTTCAAAATGACGTTTTTAGCGCAATTTCTTATTTATGGAAAAAATGCACTGATTGTGCTCGCCATATGTCCGCCTCTGTGCCTGTCTGTCTGTCTGTCTGTCTGTCCGTCTGTCCGTCCGTCTGTCCGTCCGTCCGTGACCTCAAGTTTTCGTCGACGAGAAAATGCGCTCTCTTATTGGCGAGATCTGAGATGACCTCTTTGCAGCGTTTACCTTCTGCGTTATCGCTATTTTCTGTTTTATACTCACTGCAGTGAGTACTGAGTTATATTTTTTGTTTACTTATGAAGCATATTTGTTCACTAGGATAACTACATCGCCTCTATATATGCTGTTCTAAAAATCGGTATTAGCGGCATTTCAGGTACCGGCCGTCACGTAAAAAACGCCGTCTCCCCATTTTTTTCTAATTTAACACTAGAAACCCAAAAATCATCGGAAAAAACGGCGATACGGTATTTTTTTCGCGGGGCAGCCGTGCACAAAAAACGCCGGTGAGACCGGCGTTTTTTTCGAAAAGGGTAATTTCAGTCTGTGATAAGACCAGGTGAAGATATATATCGCTTATCATATTCTTTAATGAATATCAGCAATGTTGTAGGGATCGATGCAATGTGATATTTTAATTTTGTTCACGATACATAAGGTCCCTAATGGGTAAAGGGTTAAGAGGTCCTTAAAGGGTTAAGAGGTGACAGTCTCAGCTTGTGCATTGCGGAAACCTTTACAATAAACCAACGACATGAAAAAGAACGTTGAAAAAACGTTGAATGAACGTTGTTTCAACGACACAACGATTAACTCTACATCCGATGTCTGATGGATTGCTTCTTTCACTAAGAAAAATTAATGTGCGACATTGTCCGATTAGTCACACACGTTCTTACCCGCAGCCCGAGCAGGGAGCTGACGTACAGCCTTTTGCCGTGTAAAGCAAACTGAGTCAGGATGACCCAAAATGACCCGCATCAGAACAGAAAGTGCGTTGCTATATTAACTACTTAACTAATTCTCGTGTTTCCATACAGAAGCTGTGTGTTTATATGTGTAATTAGCAAGGTCTATTAATTCGATCGTCTTGAAACACTGTTTTGTTGTCTATACCGAAGCCTGTACGTGTTTAATCGTATTATAGATTTAATATCTTTACATTATTGATGTTTTAAATTAAAAATTTTTAAATCTTTTCGAAAAAGCCGCTGTTTCTTGGAACCTGCTGCGCGCTCCCAGAAAATGAGGCGAGATTGTCCAATTTGTGATGTATGTGTCAGTATTTGGATAATATGACTCTTCATTTTTATGGGTGATGCGTGTTTTGTATGTTGTGATTACTTAAGGATTTCTTTAGCATTACTAAGTAGTAAATTAATTACGTTTATATTTTTAGGTAATTATATATCATTTAGTAATCGCGGTTACCTGCTGTGGTGGAACGTCACACCAGCACTCAAATAAATGAATGTATGATTTATCTTTCTTGCCCCTGTGTGGGTGAGTCATCCTGACTCACTTAGCCCGGCAATGTGAAATGGGGGCGGTTTTTTGTTTCGTTTTCAGTGAATGGGGCGGTTTTTTGTTTCGTTTTCAGTGAATGGGGCGGTTTTTTGTTTCGTTTTCGGTGAATGGGGCGTTTTTTTGTTTCGTTTTCAGTGAATGGGGCGGTTTTTTGTTTCGTTTTCAGTGAATGGGGCGGTTTTTTGTTTCGTTTTCAGTGAATGGGGCGGTTTTTTGTTTCGTTTTCAGTTAATGGGGCGTTTTTTGTTTCGCTTTCAGTGAATGGGCGGTTTTTTGTTTCGTTTTCACTGAATGGGGCGGTTTTTTGTTTCGTTTTCACTGAATGGGGCGGTTTTTTGTTTCGTTTTCAGTGAATGAGTTAATGTTAACTTTAGACACTCATAAAAATGGATATGTTCTATTGTACAAATAGTGACACACTTTCAGCGTGTTGCAATGATACGCCCTTCTGCTGGACACAACTGGGTCAAGTTGACCAACACTATGGTGAAAAGTTCATCGCTAATAGGACAAATTCTTACTGATTTCTTTGAGTGTATAAATTTTGAAAGGCCGCAACACTTACGATTGTCGTAGACCGTCAACTCATAGGAATAAATGGGTCATATACTGTCCAGATTTTGACTCGCTCTCTGGCCCACAGCAGGCCAGAGCCCTGGTTCGCCCATTTTCCGGACCAAATTGGGTGTGCAATAACTGAAAAAAGTGTATCAATATTTAGACGAAGACTCATTCATCTCTCTGAGTGTAAGATCACCAGAGTTGAGTTAAGTTTGGGCGTTAAGTTTTCAAAAAGATAATTTACTTTATTAGAACTTTATTAGAGTTACTTTAACGATTGTAAGTTTAGGAATATGCACGTTGAAATGAAAGAAGCTCTCGCTGCTCCATGCCACCCTATTTAACTTTAAAAATTATCGGGTTTCTCTACAAAAAAGCTAACGAATATTTAAAATTAATAAATGTAATCACATATATATAATTATCAAATATATTTAACGAATTATTAAGATTTGATATTTAACCTCGGTTGAAGGGAATGGGGGACTAGATCGAAATTTGGATTATTCAAGTACCAGATGTTAGGGAATAGTATAAATTTATTCATATTTTTAGCAACAATTTCTCCATTTTCATTTAGACTTAACTGTTCCGAAAAATTAAGTTTTGTATATTTCCAGGATTTTATTCATTCATGTTTTAGACTTTAGCTGGAATGTCTTAAAAGCAATTAAAAAAATTAGCTGGAATGGACTGTACGGCACAGCGCAATTGTATATAACCAGTATTTGAAGTATATGTGCGATAACTTTGTCTTTTAAATAAGTACCAACCTCCCCAGTGGTTACAGTTCAGAGTATCAGGATTGGCGCAGAGAGGCGCGGGTTCGATCCCAGCTCTGTGCGCCAGTTTCTGTAGTCAGAATCGGCGAGGAGGCCGGGCGGTTAAGGGGAGCATGTCTAGCAAAGTCTATTTTGTACATTCAGGGAAGGATCATCTCCAAACCTGGTACACATGTAAATTCGTAAATGACGACTATGTTGTTCATGTGAAATTTTCTAAAAAAAATGAAAGAAAACGTGAAATTCATAGAAATCGGCCAAAAAAGGGGTACTTTAGAAAATTTATTGCATCATACAATTTACGTGCCACAACATTGCCTGACATATCATTCGATTGATAAAAACAATATCTAGCTATTGTCGAGCCATTTTTTTAATTTTTTTTCCATCTTGTAATGATTTTTCTGAAAAATTTTACATTTTCGAAATTTCCCCCCAATCCTCCCCATTTTGCAATATATAATTCAAACTAAAACGATAAAAAATGGCTTGACAATCGCTAGCTCTTTTCATTACGAATCGAATGGTGTATCTCTCATTGCTGTAGCTTTAGATTTATAGGAGGAGATAGATTTCTAAGATGAAAATTGTAACTTTTCAGGAAAGCCAATAAACCGCCGACGGCGGCGCGCGCTATGTAAAGGCATATAACGTAGATTGGATACCAAAGGTAAGCGTTATTTCACTCTGAATT